TGGATTCATACCTTTCCCAAAGGTATTTGTATAAGTGAATATAATGAACATGAATGGAATTGTAACTTGGCTCTCTGATTTTCCAATTTCCATTACACGGTCTTCACATCTAAGCTTATAGCATGTGGTATTCCCAAATGGTGACCCATCTAGGTACTGGTTATGTTTGACATTGCTTAACTTTGGTGATCGTACAAGAGTTTCTCATTAGAAGAAATGTTATATTTGGTATATGTTTGGTTGGACTATTCTTATTCTTTTCTCAGACTTATCCATAATGTCGACTAACTTAAATCATTATATCATTACATTATTAGTTTGAAAATGTTAATTAAAATTAAATTAATTCAAATAAAATCAATTAAATATTTTGAAAAATTTAATAAAACTACTATCAGGAACATAAATTTATCAAAATATTTCATTTATTCAAAATATTTATTAAAACTATATACAGATATTTAATTTGTTGAGATTTTGATTATTTAATGACTTAATTACAAATTCTATTCTAAGATATTATTTAATGACTTGAATTAATTACAAATTCTTTGATATTAATTATTTAATGACAAATTAATTACAAATTCTATATTATTAAGATACTAGCAAGGAAGCCACTCTTTGGGTGGACTTTAGCCTAGTTTTTGAACCTTCAGTGTCCTATGTACATAAAAGTTATAAGAATTTAGTAATAATAAAATTATTTTATCTTTATTCCACATCTTAATTCGGCATAATCTTTCTTTGTATACACAACTGATCTCTGTAGTTTGTTTACATTTATTTTGTGCACAGTTTTTATTTTCTTTTAAAATCACTATTCTTTATGATCCCTTCACATATAGTCACTCCTAAAAGACATTAGGGAACACAAACTATGTAATATTTTGAATATGTCATAGTATGCATGATATAAAAAGAAAAAAAGAAAAACATATGTGTAACATATTGTACCCTATTTTTAATTACAGTTTAATTAGATGATATCAATTGCAATGAAATTAAAGTTAAACCTTTAATAAAGATTTGTTTTCTTTAAATCTTTCACTCTGTTCAGTATTTAAATTTAAATGAGTTAATTAATTTTTAATCGAGTGTAACTACAGTAGTTATTACCTGTTACTGCATGTTATGATTCATCGAGATTAAAAAATGGATGGACAGACAGACACATGTACACTGCACTTTATTTATATAGATTATTTATTTAGTTACTGTTAATTAAATTAATTGCAAATTTTACTTTAAGATATTATTTATTTACTACTTTAATAATAAATGAAGTGTGGGTGAAAAAATCTTTATTTATAATTTCTCTTGGCCAGGTTTAAGTTTATTAAAGTATTGTTTCATTACTATAAATTAAATATGACTTTTATTTTATTAATATATAAATTCAAATATGATTTTTAAATTTATTTAAAGTATTACCTGTTTTATTAAAAAAAATATTACCTATTTTCTTTATCAACTTTTCCTTTCCAAAGGAAGTGTACATTTACTTTTTCCCCTAAAATCCCATAATTAAACTCTAGAAATTTTAGAAGTTTTGTTAGTTTTAAGAGAACTTTGTTGAACCTTCATGTCCCCAAAAACATGCTGCATCAAAAGGACAGTTTTTCCATTGACATCGCTATTCTCTTATCTTCACTCTTTGGCACTCTTTCAAAAAGTGATGATTAGAATTGTAATAAAACCTTTTATTTTTGTAATATGCAAAAAATGTGGCATAAGGCTAAACACAGGAAAGCTGGTATTCATCTGTCTTATATTTAAAAACTTAGCTTGCCACAATCACTGACCCAAACATACTACAGTATTCCTTACATCAAAAAGAATTCTTATCTGGCACAGGAGTTAACCATTAGCTTATAAGAATTTAGAGGTGTGGTTATTGCTCCTGTGAAGTGAAGCTATGTTTCATCTTATTTTACATGGGAGAAGTTGCTCAGCTCTGGAGGTCCCAACCCAGTGGTAGCACCTTCCTCAGTAAGAGAGAATAGAGGTTGAAGTAATAACGATATCAGTGTGACACTGTTCGCAAGAGCTGGACATAACAATTTTTGTCATTGGCCCCTATTCATACGTATGACGTTGCCCACGTTAAAATGACCTTGGTCTTTGTATCACACCTTGCCTTTCAGTCACCACATCTGTCTTTATGAATTCCTTAAGCATAGCTTAGATGTGGCACAAGGCTGATAGTATGGGTCACTCAGTTAGGATTGAACTCACTCTATTCAGTTATGGGACAAGCTTGCTAACCATTACAGCATATCAAAATTATGAAAGTGAATTTATATACATCTTTTATAGTTAAACTTCAAAGTTATTTTTTACTGATTATTGTTCAGATGGGTGTCCCGCAAAAAACAAAAAAATGGTAGTTTAAATTGTTGGAATTTTTGTTACAGCTATTTGAAACAAAAGCAAAGGATAGGAATTTAAAACAGAACAAAAACACAAATGTTAGACCATTACATTCACTTATGTGCTAAATACTCTTGGGAAAGGTATGAATCCTGTTCTCCCCCACTAGCTATGGGTAAATTATAGCAGGACAGACCAGGTTCTATAGCCTTGGATGGCAACTGGTCTACCGCAGAAAGAAATTTGAAACTTACTGCAGGAAAAAATCTGCCTCGTCAGTCATGTATCGAAAGATACATGATCGACTAAGAAGCGTGCTCTACACATGGTGCATAACTATCTCAAACTAAAGAACGTTGGCAAAATGTCTTCTTGACATTTTTTTCAGTCCCCAAGTTGGATGTTTTTATTGTTTTTCCTTTAGAACAATCACCTCGCGTTGAAAACTTGATAACTGTGCCATCCGTGAACAACAAATGGTTAAAAAATGATGTTAGTTAATTTTTTTTAGCCTATTCATATAGTAAAATATATAGTTATTTTTTTTTATATGTTTTAAATTAATTGTTTTCATAACATTAACAATATTTAAATTTAAAATCTCTAAAAATTCCTAGTTTTTTTTAGGGGGGCACTCTGTATGAAAATAAATATAACCTCACGATAGTGTAACCCGGATATAAGAGAAACCCGGATATAAGAGAGATTTTCTCTGGTCCCAAATTAGAGCCTGTGTTAATGTATATAAAATAGACCAAACCCGGATATAAGAGAAACCCGGATAAAAGAGACTTCTTCTCCGGTCCCGACAACTCTCTTATATCCGGGTTACACTGTATCTTGTAATCTCAGTTGGTTTTCCTGCATTAGTCACTGTGCCTTTATTATTATTCAGTGTAAGCCTGATATAAGAGACCCGGATATAAGAGAAACCCGGATATAAGAGAGATTTTCTCTGGTCCCAAATTAGAGCCTGTGTTAATGTATATAAAATAGACCAAACCCGGATATAAGAGAAACCAGGATATAAGAGATTTTCTCTGGTCCCAAATTAGAGCCTGTGTTAATGTATATAAAATAGACCAAACCCGAATATAAGAGAAACCCGGATATAAGAGACTTCTTCTCCGGTCCCGACAACTCTCTTATATCCGGGTTACACTGTATCTTGTAATCTCAGTTGGTTTTCCTGCATTAGTCACTGTGCCTTTATTATTATTCAGTGTAAGCCGGATATAAGAGACCCGGATATAAGAGAAACCCGGATATAAGAGAGATTTTCTCTGGTCCCAAATTAGAGCCTGTGTTAATGTATATAAAATAGACCAAACCCGGATATAAGAGAAACCAGGATATAAGAGATTTTCTCTGGTCCCAAATTAGAGCCTGTGTTAATGTATATAAAATAGACCAAACCCGAATATAAGAGAAACCCGGATATAAGAGACTTCTTCTCCGGTCCCGACAACTCTCTTATATCCGGGTTACACTGTATCTTGTAATCTCAGTTGGTTTTCCTGCATTAGTCACTGTGCTTTTATTATTATTCAGTGTAAGCCGGATATAAGAGACCCGGATATAAGAGAAACCCGGATATAAGAGAGATTTTCTCTGGTCCCAAATTAGAGCCTGTGTTAATGTATATAAAATAGACCAAACCCGGATATAAGAGAAACCCGGATAAAAGAGACTTCTTCTCTGGTCCCGACAACTCTCTTATATCCGGGTTACACTGTATCTTGTAATCTCAGTTGGTTTTCCTGCATTAGTCACTGTGCCTTTATTATTATTCAGTGTAAGCCGGATATAAGAGACCCGGATATAAGAGAAACCCGGATATAAGAGAGATTTTCTCTGGTCCCAAATTAGAGCCTGTGTTAATGTATATAAAATAGACCAAACCCGGATATAAGAGAAACCAGGATATAAGAGAGATTTTCTCTGGTCCCAAATTAGAGCCTGTGTTAATGTATATAAAATAGACCAAACCCGAATATAAGAGAAACCCGGATATAAGAGACTTCTTCTCCGGTCCCGACAACTCTCTTATATCCGGGTTACACTGTATCTCGTAATCTCAGTTGGTTTTCCTGCATTAGTCACTGTGCCTTTATTATTATTCAGTGTAAGCCGGATATAAGAGACCCGGATATAAGAGAAACCCGGATATAAGAGAGATTTTCTCTGGTCCCAAATTAGAGCCTGTGTTAATGTATATAAAATAGACCAAACCCGGATATAAGAGAAACCCGGATATAAGAGACTTCATCTCCAGTCCCGACAACTCTCTTATATCCGGGTTAAACTGTATTAGCAACTTTTATCGTTTAAAAGTAAAAGTGTAAAACATTGTAAGTTTCCGTTTTTTTTTTTTTAAATTTAATAAAATCACAACAGAATTTAAAAAAAACAAATTCGAATCTCTTTCTTAAGACGACTCCACACAATTTTAACACCTATTTCCGGTTTGTAAATAATCGTAATTATCTTTGTTTAGTCGCAGTTCCGTACAAAATAGTCAGCATCTGAAAACATTTAATTTTCATAAAACTGATATAATTATACTTTTTGGTTTGTTTGTTGTAGTTCTTTGAAAAGTACGATAAAGTTCTTACAAAAAAAATCAGATACGAAAATACGGTTGTAGTAAATACTTATGTCTCTGCTTTTATCACGCAGGAATTTTAGATCGGCAATTTCATTTGCGCTCTTGGTACGTGTAAGTTATAGTTTCCTCTCAATTTTTTTTTTTCCTAAACATCTTTCTTCATCTTATTGATTTATATTCTTACTTCATATCTGGAGAATTTTTATTATGTAATATCTCTTTAAATGTAAATGAAGCCCGTTTTCATTTTTGAAAATCTTAGCAAGCTATCCGAGTCTTGATGAACGTCCGTCTTTGGCTTATACTTTATCAAAACGTTGCTATTTTTTCGCTTGTTTTAATTTCTTCCCTTTTGAAAATTGATGTGATTATTTTAAAATTGGATTCATATTGAATCTCAAAATGATTTTGAAAGATATAGTGTATCTATTTCATTCTGAACTTAACGCATGATTCGTTGAATTCATTTTGAATTTTTACAGCCATATTGTTTTATTTTCAAAAATCAAAATAGTTATTAAACAGCTGTACAAAAATGTTTTCTTAATCATAAAATAAATTTACCAAATTTTAGTTGATTTTATGTTTTTAGCGCTGAAACTTAGACTGTTATTTAATTAAAAAAAAATAGAAGTTCGCTTTTAAATATTTTGATTTTTAACTATAAAAATGTCATGAATATTAAAGTTAAGTAATGAAATAAGTGAAGACTGAACTGACAATACAAGTTTTGTACACACTGACAATATTGCATATTTGTACGATAAAGTTGCGTTTTATAAATTCAGTCTTCTTAGACAATGTTTGTGACAGTAATAAAAATAAAATAAAGACCTTTTAGGTTGTTATCTCCAAAAATTAAACAGGATACATGGCGAAGAAAAACAAACAATTTTATCGTTAAACAAAAACCTCAAGTGACTTTTTGATGAAAAACATTTTCTTCGTTATCCTTTTTATAACCTTGGAAATTTTGATTTAAAAAAAAAAAAAATCCTTTTTTCTGGTGTTAACGTGGTACAAGAAATTGATTTTGAAATTCTTGCAAAAATCATATTTATCGGATTTTAATTAAACTTTCAGGACTTCTTCACAAATGGATGAAATTAATTATGAAACGTTTATTTATTTATTTTACAAAAAAACCTTGGTAAAAATGTATTTTTTTTTTTTTTTTTTTTTACATCTGTTACCCCTCTACTAATTTCATTTTATGAAATTTCGAGAAATTCCTTATTGTATCGCTTAAGATGCCTCAAAAAAGGCTATACCTAAAGTTTAAAATGCACTTTAAAAACTTTCTAGCTTTTATTTTTAATTCCAAGCAAATAAATTTAATATTTCCAATAAACAAAATACTTTGCTGTATTTCAAACAGAATTTAAATTGAGTAGAATGATTTTTTTTATCAATAAAATGCTATGAAATCGTCCATATTGACAAATTTGACAACGCAACATAATTCTCTTATTAAAAATACTTTTCTGAAACGTTGAGAAAAATTAGCTGATTTAAAGTTTAATTGATATGAATTAAAACAAATATTACTTTTTAGTTTAAAATATCACAGAGAAGCTTCTTAAGACAGAGGGTGTGTTTTTGACAAAGGTTTATTTCACAAACCTTAGACTGTCAAACTTTGACAGCCTGATGTTTGTGAAATGTAAGTAGGACATAACTGAAGAAAAATTAAATGACAAATACAACGTAAACACCTTTTATAATATTTTTTAGCTCCCCAGCCATCTCAAAAAATTTAAAATATTTTAAGAAATAAAAAAAAAATTTTGAATTTTAGGTTCTTTGCCTTACTTATAAAGATGTTTGTTGGGGAAATGTCAGAAAATGACCAATAAATTTAAAATTTACTATAGATACTACTCTTATTTTCTGATAATGTCACTTTATCTAAATCTTGATAGACTCTTTCAACAATAACTGTTAACACATCAACAGTTGACCTAGAGTAGTAAAAGCCATATTGCTTGTCTGAAAGAAGAACTGGTGAGGTGAGATGCTTAATCACTTCAGAGTTTATTAAGAGTAGTACTCTGACAAAAAGAGGTAGGTGTATAGGCTGAAAATTGAAAGGATCAGACAGTTCTCAAAGACTGGAATTACAAAAGAGGAAAGAAATGTAAAGCATTTATTATAGCCTTTAGAGAGAACGCTTAAGTCAGTTCAGGTGCACATTTCTTAAGGACTATTGCAGAGATATCATCAAGTCCACATGCTTTGTGGGGATCCAGTTTAGGGATGACAGCAAAAACCATGGAAACAGTTATATGAATATCACACAATAGTGACTAAGTGGAAAGTCAGGTAAATATACGCTAGATGAGTAAAGAGTAGAATTGAAAGGGAATTTATTAGCAAATCATTCTGTTTAACAACAGGTATCATATTTAGTGAGGATAGGAGGGATAGAAAACTTACTCTTATTAACACACTATTACAGAGCTGCCAGTAGTCATGAGAACTAAGCTTGGAGGTTATAAAGTGCCTCATTTCTGCGAACAAAGACTTGTCCTCTTTGAGGACACATTTGCAATTATTATAGCAGCTACAGGGGTGTCTATTGTGACCAGATCTATGATGTTAGTACATCCAGAAAAAAATGATTCTTGTGCATTATAGTGGCTGAACAGGCCAGTGTAAACCAAAGAGAATATTGTGGTTTCACCTGGTATTTTTGAGAATGCACAAAACATTGATGTCACCTTATATCTGAGAAGAATCTTCAGTGGTATAATTCTCAATAGGAAGGTTAAAAATTTAACATCAAGTGGTATTGGGAAGAAAATGAATCCCAGTCAGTACACTAGTAGCAGAAGTTTTGTGAATAGGAAGTTTATGTCTAATAGATGACTCAAAAAAGAAATATCAACAGATACTACAGTTTAATTTGAATTGGCAAGAGGACAGTGTTGTGATGCTCAACAAGAGCTAAGAGAGAAGGTACAAAACAAATCAAGTAAAAAAGCTTGTTTATCAGATTTGTTTGTGAAATGAGTATGGAAATCCACTATTTGACTGAGCAACAGAAAAACTGAAAGTCTTGAATACCTGCAACATCAGTAACATTAGAAGGATTAAGCCACTTGACATTATGAGCATTAAAATCAGTGTTTGCTTTGGCTTGTTATCTACAACTTGTTATCTACACTACAAATTTTATTTTGGAATGATATGTACAGAGTAAAAAATTATAACCTCTATTTATATATATGTATAACAAAGAAAATGTAATTAAAATATTATTTTCTTTTCTTTATATTCTAGCGATAAACAGCATGTACATCAGCTAAAATGTCTACACTGTATAAATTTTAATTTGGACTGATATCTACATAGTAAAACATATGTATAACATAGAGAAAGTGTAATTAGAATATTAAAAAATTGTGTTGTTCTTGATAAGTATAACTTGTAGATCACATAGCAAAGAAGATTCATGACATGTAGATAAGAAAAAGTAGCACCATTTAAAATCACCAAACACAAAATTGTTCACAGCTGAATGTAGAAAGAGCCATTTCTATACTTTCAAATATTTTGTCTAACATGTTACAATCCTGAGAAGGAGAGTGATAAAAGAAAAAGAGATAGCTAACAGAGTGCAATAAAGAAAGTTGAAAGCATATCCTCTGGGGACTCAAGAGATAATTCCTTTTCCGTTGGAAAATTTTCCTGGATATAAATGTCAAGGCCATGCATATATATCCTAGAAATTTTTCGACATGGAACACAGAATTTATTGATTGCAATAGAATAGTTTAAATTAGTTTAAATGCAATTAAATGTGTGGAAAATATTTTAAGAGAAAAGATTCTGCACTACAGAAATTAGTATGAATACTGGAGAAAAAAAGGTCAAGACTGGAGATTTCATTCATATAATCTCACAATTATCTGATTTTTGCAAATCAATTTCCAAACCAGTGTGTTTTTTGTTTTTTTTTATCACAAAAAGACACTCAAATTTCCTGTACAAATTAAAAGTCCTGTGTTGACACCTGAAAAAAAAAAACAAAACTTTTAGACAAAATTTCCAATGCTCTAAAAAAGATAAAACACATTTTATTTATATATAAACAATCCTTTGATTCTCCCTCTTAATAATAACACAAAAATTTTGACAATAAAATTTTGTTTTTCATTTTTTTGTGGGGTGGGTATCTACTTTTAAGCAACATAGCAGTTCTGTAACTATTTTCCTGTAACCATAAAATGCTCTATGAAAACCTGGTTCCATTTAGAGTTTATTCTTAAAAAAAGAAAATACTTAAAATTATTAATCCTTCTCAAATCTTTCAAGTTCTTTTAAGACTTTGACATAAAATTTGATTTTCAATTTTTTTTGTTAATCACATCATTTCTCTTGAGTGAGATTTCATTCATTTGGTTTTTAAAAGAACTGGTTGACCATTACTAATTTGGCTAATCTAATTTGCTTTCACCTATAATTTCAGCTCACAACTTCATTTTGGGGCTTCTACTGCTATTATTCAAAGGGTCTAGTATATTTATTATCATCTTAGAAATTACTTAGTTTATATTTGGAAATGAAACAGCAATTTTTAGAATTTTGAATAGATGGATTTCATTTAAAGGCACTATTCAGCCTTGCTTGATTGCCAATATCCTTTGTGGCTGAGTCAGTATAAGCACATCATATCTAACAGCAGTTTCTCCTGCCAAGGGGACACAGGTTTGAGTTCTGCTGCAGGGCACATATTTCTCTTTAATAAAATTTCTTGAATATTTAGGCTGGTAGATGATAATAAATATAGTGTTTTTTTTTTTTTAAAAAAACAAATGGAGTGTCTACTTAAATATAGGTATTCACTAAAAATAACCTTTTAAGTGATAAAAAACTGTATAAAATCAATTTTCAAAGAAGTTATAAGCCATTGTGACCTGATATAACACTCTGGTGTTGAAGTAGTATTGTTAAATACAAAAAAAAACTACCAGGAAAGTGAATTAGAATTGATTTGACAGTAAGACCTAATCTTCAGAAAATCTTAAAAGACCACACTTTATTGTATTTTTCTTCACTTTTCCATTTTAGGCTTTTACTAACAATTGCAGCAATCATGTCTGACAGCGAGGATAGTGTTTTGTCTGATGCCGCCAGTGAACAGAGTGCTGCTGAAGAGGAAGTAGGTAGACCATTTCATTGACATGTTAAATCAGATTTCACCAATTTGTCTTTTGTACATCAGGAGAGTTTTTTTTAATCCACAATTTATAAAAAGCTTTTTCACTTGATGGTGTATTAGACTTTGTGACACTTAAAATCACTACTAGTGTCTTCCTATAAGTATAGCTGGAGTTTTCCAGTTGATGCAAATGTTCTCACATTACTTTAGGACTGATTTGTGTGTTAATGCTTTTTTTTTTCTTGTCCTTTTGACTTAAGTAATCAATCTTGATTTCAGACTAATGATCAAGTCGAAGCTTCTTCTGATGTTGAAGAAGCTGATGGCAATGAAAATGAAGCAGAAGCTGGAAGTGATGAAGAAGAGGAAGAGGAGGAAGAGGATATTGAAGAAGGTGAACAGGAATGCATAAAAGCAATAGAAGATTTGGAGGAAGAGGAAGAGGAGGATGTTAGTATTTCTGAATTAAATTTTTTATGACATCATTTAACCCTTTAGCATTCACATTACACATCTATCTATATAAAATAAAGATCAAGTAGGAAATGTGTCTCAATCTAACATGTTTCACCTTTATTAAGGCTTCGGCAGAGATCCAGAATAGAAATGAAAAAAGGCAGAGACAATATTGGTATGTTATGATTTTTGGTTAGACATGCATCATATATTAATGCAATAGATAATAAATATATGTAAGGAACATTTTGGACATTAAAATGTGTAAGTAAAAAAGCGCTTGTGTGTCTAGGTGTATGTTGGACGGTAATGTTAATTTCTTTAAGTGTATATGTGTGAGAGGAATGTCTGTTGATGTCACCCTTGTAAATATCAGTGAAATGTAACAATATCTTGCTGAAATGTAGTGATATATTGCAATAGTTTTGTATATGGTTGGCTCTTTATATTCTCGTGTATGTGGTGAATGTCTGCAGTTGTCAACTGTGCCAGTTGGTGAAAAGAAGTAAAATATTGTCATAATCTTATTTTGGTTGGATTTATTAAAGCATTTATCATGGATATTTTTAAAAAGGATTTGTAAATTTTCATTATTTTATGTATTAGATATAAGATAGATTCATGAATAATGGATCTGTAGAAAGATGGTGATGTGATTTAATTTTTAAGCAAGTGTTTATATTTGGTAGCAATGCTATAAATATATTTTCAAAATATTTTATGTTATATTCTTTTTTTAATTAAGCTGGCAGTAATGAAATATGGGGTGACGGGGGGAATGTAAATACGCATAAAAGTGTACAGGCAGTGTGCCATATTTATGGAAGCTGTGTGAATATAAGTAAATAAAGTCTTACTATCCATAATGTAAGTAACTATTAATGCATTAATGGATTTTATTTTTAAATTAACATTATTTCTTATTACTCTAAATCAAGTGTTCCCAACCTTTTTGGTGTCATTGCCCACTTTCACTTTGAAAAATTTTCCAGCTTATGGCCACATCACATTGAAACACTGCTTGGGAATATCAGGTGCAGTAAGCTTGGATGTGTGGGTGGTGTAATGAATAATGGCTCAGAATTGTTAATTGCAGCACCAAATTCCAATTCCTATTGGGTTTGTTATATTCACTTATGTGCAAATACCCTTGGGAAAGGTAGGAATCCACCTCTTTTCCCTGCAGTTATGGGTTAATTAGTAACACTTGTATCACTAAAACCATTATTATCTCAAAACAAACAATCTAAAAATATTTTATGCCTTTAAATAACCTGTGAAGGGTTAATAAGCTGTAGGAAATGAATGAATCAAAAAATTTTCCATTGCTCACCTGTATAGTAAATATTCAAAAGCATATCAAAATTGTTTGGTAAAAGTTTGTTACTGGTTCATAAACTGACTTTATGATGTAGTAAAAGAAAAGAAAATAGTTAGTTTTAGGGTTAGCGTTGCAAGTGTTGATCAAAAATTAAACAATTTTTGTTCATAATTATAAAAGTAAAAAGAATATACACTTGTAGCAACTAATAAAAATTCAGGGAATATTTTATTATGCTTAATACTGAAGAACTGTTTGAATGTTAATGACCCTTCTCAAAGCTATAGAAAATACCAAAATATTCCTTGTTTGTGGCAGATATTTATATCTTACTAGGAATGTGAACCCAATTAGCCTTCTTTTTTCTTTTTTTTTTTTTTTTTTTTTTTTAATACAATTTCTTTGCATATCTCCTTTCAGTACTTTTTTTTTTCCCCCCCAGATAGCATATGTTGAAATACTTTTTTAATGCTCAAAATACTAGATCCATCCAATAGTTGAAATTGCTCAGGTTGGGAAAATCAAAAGCATTTTATTTTTGGTTGTATATTAATTTAAAATATTCCTTTTTACAGGCTTTATTTCTGAAATGGAATAAGATCATTCTAAATTTCAGAATTTTGCTATTGCCCATCAAAACGACTGGAAGAAAGTGATCTAAAACTAAAAACAACAATGGAAAAGAGAGGTAACAAAGTGTAAACGAAATAGCTCCAGTTTGTTCAACTTAGGAAACTTAGCATTGCAGCCAAAATATTCTAAAATGCTGCCAATAGAAGAAAATGAAAAATGCCTAACAACAAATCAAATACAGCATCAAAATTTATATTATTTTTATTTGTTATGTAACTAAATACATAATTGTCAGCAATGTTTCCATAAAACTGTATATTTCTTGTAATAAATTATTCTTAATTATTTTTATTTTATTTAAGTGTAAGGTAGTCCTACATTTACAATTCCTTACGGCTAACCATGAAACGAAATGTTGATCAAAACTGCCTAAAACCCTTAAGTGCGTATTGCCACAGAATTATCAAATGTTGAATATGCCCCTCCTCTGCTGAATGCATCATATGTGGTATAATAAATGTTGAATTATATATGAAATAGCTATTTTTAAACTGTTAAAGAAAATGTTGCTAAATTCTTGGACTTTGAGTTTGTTTAATGCAACTTTGGTTTTATTTTGAATTCATGACCTAATGAAACTTAATGATTTATTAAAATTTTAATTTTGTAGACAGAATGAAGTTCTTTACAACTTGAAAACTATTTTTCATTTTGATGTATTTCTTTTTATCTCATTTCGGAGTTAGTTTTAATATAACTTTAGAGAGGCCATCACTCTACAGAATAGGCAGCTTATGATTGGAAGTAAAGGATTAATTCTTGATGAGATCCAGTGCTGTTTTCTCATTGCTGTAGATTGATGGCTTGTGGAAAATTGTGACAAAAACAAACAACTAAAAAATAAAAGTAAATGGGAGTCGAAATTAATAATAATGGCTGACAATACTTCATCTCAAAAATGAGCAACTGTTACAGTTTTGAAAGTTTAAGTGTCAGATAGTTTTAAAAATATTACTTCTACCTTTGAAAGCATGCTTGAGTTTTCTTTTATAATTTTAATATTTATAAATTGTGCTAAGTTTTATAGCATTAAAAAAAAAATAATGATTTGACTTATTTTTAAAATAATTTTCTTTTTAAAACCTTCAGGATTATGATGAGGAAGAAGATGATGACGAACCAAGCCGTAAGCGTAAGAAGAAAAGCCATTTTAATTTCATCTTGGATGAAGCTGGTAAATTATTTTTTAAAATTTTGCAATGATTTTTTTCTCTTTCTCTGTCTCTCTTGTTTCTCTCTTTCTCTGTCTCTCTTGTTTCTCTCTCTCTCCGTCTCTCTTGTTTCTCTCTCTCTCCGTCTCTCTTGTTTCTCTCTCTCTCCGTCTCTCTTGTTTCTCTCTCTCTCCGTCTCTCTTGTTTCTCTCTCTCTCCGTCTCTCTTGTTTCTCTCTCTCTCCGTCTCTCTTGTTTCTCTCTCTCTCCGTCTCTCTTGTTTCTCTTCTCCGTCTCTCTCCTCTCTCTCCGTCTCTTTGTCTCTCTCTCTCTCTCTCTCTCTCTCTCTCTCTCTCTCTCCGTCTCTCTTTTCTCTCTCTCTCTCCTCTCTCTTGTCTCTCTCTCTCTCCGTCTCTCTCTCTCTCTCTCTCTCTTTCTCTCTCTCTCTCCGTCTCTCTTCTCTCTCTCCTCTCTCTCTCTCTCCTCTCTCTTTGTCTCTCTCTCTCTCTCTCTCTCTCTCTCTCTCTCTCTTGTCTCTCTCTCTCCGTCTCTCTTGTCTCTCTCTCTCTCCGTCTCTTTGTCTCTCTCTCTCTCCCCCCTCTCTTGTCTCTCTCTCTCTCTCTCCTTGTCTCTCTCTTCTCTCTCTCTCTCTCTCTCTCTTGTCTCTCTCTCTCTCCGTCTCTCTTGTCTCTCTCTCTCTCCGTCTCTCTTGTCTCTCTCTCTCTCCGTCTCTCTTGTCTCTCTCTCTCTCTCTCTCTCTCTTGTCTCTATCCGTCTCTCTCTCTCTCTCTCGTTTCTCTCTCTCTCTTGTTTCTTTCTCTCTCTCGTTTTTCCGTCTCTCTCCCTCCCCCGTCTCTCACACACACAAGTTCACCCTAGACCAAGGGTGTTACTAAAGGTAGTTGTTTTGCGAGCAGTAAAATGCACTGTTTATATGAATATGTGGGAGAGACAGTGGCCAAATTTGTAATGCTTGGTGAAAGAATCCTCCCGAGATTTTATACCACAAATGTAACAGTTCTTTAGAATAAGCTATCAGAGTAAAACTTGTTCCTTACGAAAGGAAATGAAGAAATTTCTAAAATGTTTGAGGAAAATAATTATTTGTTTGCAATAGTTTTCTGGTACACAAAACCTAAAATTGAAAACTCTGATATGATTTGTCTTTATTTAAAGAAAAGCAAAAGAAATCTTTTATGTTTTGTTAGAAAACCAAATGAATTCATTGTTAATTCTATTAAAGGTAAAAGTATTTTCTGTTTGTAGATGTTGATGATGAAGGTGAAGAATCTGAAGAAGAATGGGAAGAAGGTGCTGAAGACATCATTGACCGTAAATCTGTTCATGAAGGTCCAAGTGCCCGTGATATTGAAGGGAAGAGACGCTTGGAACAAATTTGGAAGTAATTGATTCTTTCATTTTGTTTTTAATTTTTTTCATATGTGTTTTGAGCTTTCTGTAAATTTTTCTCTCCAGAATCTGTTTTACATATTTATAAGTCTACCATTCGTTCATGCTTCAAATATTGTTGCCACATATGGTCTGGTGCTCCTGCTATGTATTTAGAGATTCTTGATGAAATCGAAAGAATAATCTGCAATGTTATTGGCCCAGACCTGGCATCTTCAGTCATATTCTCACCACCACAACATAGCTTCCCTATGCCTTTTCTATAAATATTTTCATGGTAATTGTTCTGATGAACTTTCCTCTCTGCTCACACTTCTTGTCCATGGAGCTCTCTTCTGGCTTCTTGCTTTCCAGCCAACTTTGATCATCAAAACTTAAAATGCAATTTTTTTTTTTTTTTGTTCTTTCTCTTTAATAATATTTTTCTTCTTTTTCTTTCATACTCAGTGACCCTTTGTGTCTTAATGGGTTTATTGCCTTACTTGGGGTTAAATAATTAAAAAAAAAATTGATTGTTTTGATGTTCCTTTCAAATATTTCTTTTTGCAGTAGCGAGAAAGAGGATGAGATTGAGGAATATTATCGACAAAGATATGGTGAATCCACGGTTACTGAGCGATTTGGTGAAGGGGAGGAGATGTCTGATGAAATCACCCAACAGGGACTATTACCTGGTGTCAAGTAAGTAAATCGATCAATTCCTCCAGATTTTCAAATGAGTGTTTGAAATTTTGTAAACTTTAATTCTCCTCATTTATTAATATTTTATTTTATTTTTTTCCTCAGTTTCTAAAGTTTCTTGCTTTGTCTTCTCTTAGGGACCCAAATATGTGGATGATCAGGTGCCGTATGGGTGAAGAAAAATCCACAGTCATGTTGCTAATGAGGAAGTTTATTACCTATCAGTTTACAGAAGAAGTGATTATTGCTTTTTAATTTTAATTTTTTTGAACATTTGTTTTTTTCTCTCTCTCTCTCTTTTTTTTCTTCTCTCTTTCTCTCTTCTCTCTTCAGAACTTATTGTCTTAAAGCAATTGTAGGCGTTTCTATTCATGATAAATTCTAAACTTCATTCATCAAATGCGGTTTCTAATTCTGAGAATTGAATTTCAGAAATGTCTTCATATTTAAAGTTCCATTAGTACTTTGCTGCATTGTCACAGCATTAGTACCGTTGGGCTTTCAAACACCCCATTTCAAATATTATATATCATTTAGTTTTTTATTTATTTTTTTACTTTCTTATGTCTTTAGTTTTCTTTTGTTTTTTTTATAGGATAAATGGAAAACAAAAAACAAAAGATTTTATTTTGAATATTAAAATTATCATTAAAAATTAAAATATGCAAAAAATAGTTTTCATTTTATTTTCTGTAAACAAATAAAATTGCTGGCAATTCATGCAAGTATTATAACTAAAACCAGAAACCCCTTGTAATTAGTTGACAGAGGTATTCATGAAAATTTGTCATTTGTTAAATATAAAGGAAAAATATTTGGGTGTTCAAACAACTTATATAACTGAGTGTTAATAACCTGCCAGAAACCTTGATTACTTTTACAGAAGACAATTTTAAGTTTTCATTTTGTAAACAAATTTCATTGCAGTTGTAAGGCTTAAATTTTAAAAATTAACAGAAAAAAATACCTTCAGAATATACCAATTTAATTTGTTTTGAGCTCATTGACGTAATTATTTTTTTTTTCTTTAGCCTCTGCAAATTAAATCTGTTATTGCAAAAGAAGGTCTCAAAGGTTATATTTATATTGAGGCCTATAAACAAACCCATGTGAAACAAGCAATTGAAGGTGTTGGTAACCTAAAAATGGGCAGATTTCGACAACAGGTGAGTTACCTTGGCATCTCCTAGGATTTAATATCCAAAATTAGTCAAGAAATTTTGCTTATAAAAGCAATGGTATCAATTTGATTTCTGAATTGCATTTTCTTTTTTATCCAGATGGTGCCCATTAAAGAAATGACTGATGTTTTAAAAGTTGTGAAAGAGACCACAAACCTAAAACCAAAATCTTGGGTACGCTTGAAGCGAGGCATTTACCAGGATGATTTAGCTCAGGTAAGACACCACACGATGTAGTAGTAACCCTTAATTTTAATGGTATTTAGTTATTTTAAAGATTAACCATAAACTGATACTTTTTTTTTTTTTTTTTTTTTCATATATCTGAACTATAATTTTCGGAAGTGAAAATTTTCACTGAAATTTATTTTATTATTATTATTATATTTTATATATATTATGCAAAATTTTATATCATACAGTGTGCGATGGATACATTGTTGTCTAAATTACACAAAAATGAAAATAATATTGGCATCTCATTTTATCATATATACCAAAATTACACAAAATATCTTAAAATACTAAAGAGTAAATTCAATAAAATTGCCATTGGTTTCAACCACGATCTTGAGAGGACTTCAGAATCTGAAACTCTTCTGGATGGTCTCCTTATTTAAGTTGGTAAATGCTACCATAATCATTGCCTTCAGTTCATCTTTGGTGTTACAAGGAGTTTTGTTGGTCTTTTGTTCAACAGTGCCCAACACATAATAATCAAGGCGGTTGCAGTCTGAGGTGTTAGGTGGTTAGATGTAAGGCGTGATGTCGTCGCAGAAATTGTCTGACAGCCATGACTGGCTTCTGCTTTTGTGGCATAGTGCAGAGTTCTGTTGAAAGACATAGTACCTTCCAAAAGCCAACATCTTGAAACAGGGGAGGTACTTGACATAGGCCTGAGTCTTAGGCTCTCATCAACAAATTCAGGAGTTCTTTTAATGATCAGAGTGAGTTTTCCGAGCAGTCGTACATGTGTAATCATCATTAGACTCCCCTCAACTCTTTCCGAATCCTCAGTACTGTCCTCAGATTGACACCCAAACACTGAAATGTTTGTATTGGAGCTTCCGGTGCGAATACCAAGCATTACAGTGTGCCGTTTCCAAATTTCTGTCAGTGGATTGTGTCATGGTGCTATTTTTTCACAAACAGTGCCCAATTGACCCTATTATACTGTGCAGTGAACAAAATCAACAACAAACAGTGCACATGTACAAAATTAAAAATATGAAGTGGTGACAATGTACCCATTGCAGCCTGTCTATTTTTTTTTTTTTATTTAGAAAGTGAAAATTTTCAAGTCTTCTTCTTTTCAAGTGAAGAAAATACAAACTTTAAGCAAAATTGTCAGAATTTATAGGAAAAAGAAATCAGTTTAAACTGACACCAGAAGGATATAGTTTCATAGAAAATTAGAACATCTGAATATAAAAAAAAAAAAATTTCTGATTACTATCATGAATTTTTGTTGAATTTTAAAGAACTCCAGTTTAACAAAGAGGATAACCTTTTCATAAGCAACACGCCATAAACATCTTCAGTAACATAAAACCTACATACATCATATACTATCAGATAACCAGAAGGATGTGCCTACAGTAATAATGAGTTGAAATTGGGACCCCAAATTTGTTAGATTTCTACACCCAAACAACACTGGGGAAAGAATACACATTAATGAAATGGGTACCTTACAAAGAATCCCAGAATGCTTGTTCTTTATTTCATTCCAAAAAGAACAGACTCTATCCTATAACAACTGAAAGAGATTCTGTAGCTAGTATGGCTAGTATTGTAAACTTGGTGACTTTCAGTTTCATCAATGTGAGCAATATGTGTATATTGGAAGAGATTTCGTATTGCTTCAGACTGAAATGTAAACTACATAACGTTTCAAAGTTCTGAAGGAGCCAACACTGAATTTTCTTTCAGTGAGAAATCACTTGGAAAGTTCAAGTTGAAAGCTTCTTCTTCATCCATCCTTTTTCCTAAACATGTCACCTATTTATCTCTAATAACTATCTGCATAAAAAAGTTTTTCTTCTAAAGGAACATTTGAATTTGGGCATACACAGTTGTTTCAGATCAAAGCTGAATGTTTTCTTTATATTTATATACTTGTATCATTATCAAAGAAAGTGAATGTTTTGGTTATTGAATGTTTAATTTTATATTTATAAAATTCATTGTTATATCAAAATAAAATATAAAAAGATTATTTTTAATAAAAACCCAATCCTTTTTGGTTCATATATTTTTTTAATTTTTTCATAATTTTGAAAGTCTATTAAACTGGAGTGGTGAAAAACTTTTGATGAAAATTGCCTGTTTTGGTGATGACAAGATTGAATGTTTAAAGATTTTTATTTGTGGTGATCCATTCTTGCTATTAGAAAGTTATAAACTTAGTTTAAAATTTTGCTTTAAGAACAAACATAACTTAATTCTGCTGAAATTGTACATTTGTCAAAAACTAAATTTCATTGTTTACAGGTTGATGACAAGATTGCCTGTATTTGTGGTGATGACAAGACTTTGCCTGTATTTGAATATGACAAGATCCTGTATTTGTGGTGATGACAAGTTTGCCTGTATTTGTGGTGATGACAAGATTGCCTGTATTTGTGGTGATAAATTGCCTGTATTTGTGGTGATGACAAGATTGCCTGTATTAATGAAAATTCCAATCCTCCTGTGAAGTGTTTGATGACAAGATCCTGTATTTGTGGTGATGACAAGATTGCCTGTATTTGTGGTGATGACAAGATTGCATTTGTATATTGAAGGTTTCATCAGTAATTTTGAAAGTCTCTAAATAAATTGCATTTGTGGTGATGATAAACTTGCCTGTATTTGATGATGAAGATTGCCTGTATTTGTGGTGATGACAAGATTGCCTGTATTTGTGGTGATGACAAGATTGCCTGTATTTGTGGTGATGACAAGATTGCCTGTATTTGTGGTGATGACAAGATTGCCTGTATTTGTGGTGATGACAAGATTGCCTGTATTTGAGAATGTTAAGTTTGAATGTTTTTTTTATTTTTTTTATTTGTTTGACTTGAATTCAGTTTTAATTAGCCTCTTGTAAAACAATTTATATTATCTTAAGTCTTAGAATAAGATTTGTTTTTGTTAGATAATCTTATGTTGGGTCACTCTATGAGTAGTACTGGTACCATGTAATCCAGTACTACCTGCTAATTGATCTGGTTAGGAGGGTGGCTAATATACCCAGCAGGTTTAAAAACAAGACTTGTCAGTGTCTACCTAGCGTGATGGGAGGTACACTGGGCTCCATAACTATGTATGCATCCAGTATAGCAATGCTATGGTATCGTTGGGCAGAAGGTTTCTTAGATTGGAGTCAAAGATCAGTGTAGAGGCTGCCCCTAGTAGAAATGATGGTCATTTGTCCACGATGAAGGTGAGTTTTTAATTTGGAGGGCATCGGCTATGGTTTGATCTGGAGAAGGATGGACTCTGCCAGGTGTATTTGCACAAGACATGCTACACAGAAATGAATACCTCCGTGTCTTTCAACCCTGATATGTGGAGAGAGCCAGTCAGGTGCTCAGCTGTGCAGTGACCTTATGACCCCCACCTGGTTATAGGACTGATAATAATTATGACTCTTTAATCACTTTTGGATGTTAATCCTTATTTATTGACTTTCTTTTTATCAATCCAGTTTCCTATTTAAATTCTGGTATGTCATAAAATTGTTCCTATTCCTTGTACTATAGGTTTCGTTTTTTTTAATCTTTGCAGCAAGACGCTGATAAGAAAAAACGTAAGCGAAAACCATCTCAGAAACTCTTTGATGTTGATGCTATCAGGTAAGTTACTAATTAATTTGTTTCTATATAGTTTCATGCAGAATGAAAAGTTCCTAATCACTATTGCATAGTATAAGTTTTGTCCTATTCAGTGCCTGTAATTGGCTCTACCATTGATCCAGATCTGGAGATAACTCATGAATTAACTCCCTTGAGCTGTTTGTGCTTCCTGTCAGATTTTATGGCTGCAGATCAGCAAAAACATTGATACAAAGCGGCAAGAGAAATGAAATATACTCAATATTGTTTGGATAATTTAATCCCCTCATTGAATATTTGTGAATCTGCCTCTTCTCCTCCCAAGTTATGGGTTAAATAGTAGGACTTGTATCTGAAAATCATTATCTCCTAAAAATTGTTAATACAATATTCACTCAAAAAAAAAAAACATTCTTTTTACAATCCAACAAAAATATGTTTTGCTTTTACATAACTGACAAAAGGTTGATGAGCCGAAAGAAAACAAATCGGTCAATCTTTGTATGTTGTCATTATCAAAATGTTTTGGTTGATGCGTTCTTCAATCTTCAGGTGTATTCTATATACAAAGAAAAAGGATTTTTTTTTTTAATAAGGAAAACTACCTGATAAGAGCTGGAAAAAAGCATGACCAAAAAGTTGTTAACAAATGTGTGTGTGTGTGTATATATATATATATATATATATATATATGAATTCAATTATCCAGGCAATATTATGTTTATTTTGACTAGCTTTATTTCAATGTATTTTAGTTATTTTGAACTAGTGCTGTGCATTTGACTCTTACATGTTGTTATAGAATCAAATTTTGAACATGTGCCCTCCAACCATCATCAAGGACAAAATAACACAATATCTTTTACTTTTTAAATTATTTCACCTCAGAGTAAGGCAATAAAGCCACTAAGACTCAAGGAGCTACTGAGTTTTAGAGAATATGAGAAAAATAAACACTATTAAGGAGAGTGAACAATTAAAGAACAAGTAAGACAGTAGATAATGATTGACATTGTATTTAAATTTTTGAAGATCAAAGTTGACTGGGAGGTGAGAAGTGTGATAGATGAAACTGTTAGCATAGAACTTACTGTTACATCTAGCAGCCATTTCAACTGTAAAATGATGAGATCTTGCCGCTAATCTAGTACTGCGCTTAAATTCATAGAGTTTAGATACCTTAGAGGAAAGTTCATCAGATCAATTACCATGAAAGTATTTATAGAAAAGGCATAAGGAAGATATGTTATGTGGTGGGAAAGTGACTGAAGTTGAGATGCCAGGCCAGGACCAATGATATTGCAGATTCTTTGAATTTTATCAAGAATCTCTAAATACATAGCAGAAGCATCAGATCAGATGTGACTACAATATTCAAAGCAAGGGCAAATGGTAGACTTAAAAATTTCTATCTTATAAGTTTTTAAGTCTATCATTTTGGCAAGAAAAATTGTCTAGCACAACACAGTGAATCAACTTTCCTAGCAGCAGACCTAGAAATATATTCGATATAATCTTTCCACTTCATGTCAGCAGAAAATGTTGATCTGAGAAAATGCAATGAGTCACTCTCTTGGAACTTAGCATCAACCATGCTGATGAAAAGTATAAAGGGTTCTCGGAGATGATTAAAAGAGAACAGTTTTGTTTTGGAGCCTTTAAGATTAACAATTCCTTGTCCCAGTTAAGAACCAACTGAAGGCCAGAGGGTACTTGGCAGAAATGTTGTGTCTATAATAACATTTATAACAACCATGTTGAGAACAGTAGTTTGAAGTAACTTCAGAATATGGACAATAATTCAAAAATTAAATACAGAATTATCTAAATTAACTTCACTTCATCAAGCCTCAAAGTGTTAGATAACTTTTAATTATATAAGACAAGTTCAGTAGAAGAACCATAATTCATTGGTTTTCATTTGTTTAAATATAAAAAATAAAAGCATTTGAAGAATTTTGTGTGTAAAAATAACTTGTCACTCTAAAACCAAGTCTTCATCAGAAAAATAGACTGTAATAAAATCTAAATTACCCAATGAAATTTGACATAACAAAGTTGAAAAACTATTTAGCCAGTTTTGAAATTTATTTATTTTTTAATTTTTTTTTTTTTTAAAAAAGTAAAAATCAAAATGAAGTTACAACTGTAATTAATTTTTTAAAATTTAGTTTGAAGATTTATGTGTTGCACTAACAATTTTTAGCTTTTTTTTTCATTCTATTTTTAAACTAATCAGATTTTACCTCTTCAGCTACAAATAACCAGTTTTTTTTGTTTTTTTTTGTTAAATATCAAGTTTTTGTAAATACTACAAAAATGTATTAACTATTTCAACCTGTTTGCATTTTAAGCCTCATTAGCCTAAAATTTGAATGTAGTTACTGTTTGATGTCGTTTTCTTTAAATTATATTGAATGTTATGTAATATATTGTTTATTAGAGCAATTGGTGGTGAAGTGACTGCAGATGGAGACTTCCTGATTTTTGAAGGCAATCGGTACAACAGGAAAGGTTTTCTGTTTAAAAGTTTTGCTATGTCTGCTATTGTAAGTAAAACATTTCTGTTTTGGTTTTTCATTAATGTTTCAATTTGCAATAGAATATGACAGCAAATATACCAAATTTCGGAACTCCTGTTCTTTAAATCACTTATGAATTTCTGTATGATTAATATGCATCAGTAAATCTGATCAGTCTTGGATTGGTTAAAACGTTTTTTTCTCATTAGATTACATTAATAGCATTTAGTTTCAACTTCATTAAAAAAATAGCTTTTCATTATATAGTGACAACTGTCGTCTGTGAAGTTTAATAACTGTTAGAGTTTTTGTTTGATTAAAAAAAAAATGAAGAAAAAAAAGATTTATGCAGTTTATGGATAAATAAAGCTAATGATTGACCAGTGAAATTTAATTCTTGATAGTGAATGAATTTTAAAGATAGCCTTATGACATGGGAGATAACTTATTCAAAATATACAAATAGTGTGTTTAAAATCATTGGCACCAATTTGGTTATGTTAGGTGCATTGAGGTGTGGCTTCCATATAACTTAAGTTTTTCACTTATATGAAAATACCTGTGTGTGATTTACTACTTCAACAAATGTTTTGTTTTTGAAATGAATTCTGATCAGTAAAGAAAAGTGACGGGACATTAGCTTATTGGGCAAGTCAAATGAAAAACTATTAATAGTACTGAAAGTCAAGTCTTTCTCCAAGTCAGATGCTGCAAGCCAGGCATGTGATGTGGATTTGAAAGTCCTTTACTTTTAGTACTCTTTTAGGCACAAGCACATAAATCAATACTACTGTTTCCTTAGAATAAATATTTTCCCGAAATTTTTTGCTATGCATGTTACTTTGTCAATATTTGCATAAAGCATATAGTTTTTTTTTTTTTTTTGTAATGGTTATCAGAGCTAAATTGTTTTTGTCTTCATTGCTTTACATTTTTTTAAAAGCCTTTTTTATTTAATTTTTTGTAGATTGCTGATGGAGTCAAGCCAACATTATCTGAACTTGAAAAATTTGAAAACACCCCTGAGGGACTGGATATGGAATGTATCCTTTTTTTTGATATTGGGTGGTTGCAGACTTTGGCACAGCCTTCTATGCATCTTCTATAAATAACTTCAACTCTTAAATCTCGCAGATTACCCTTTGTTAAAAGTAATACAGCAACATAAATTCTTTGAAAAGCCTTTTTTCTAATTCCTTGAGTTTATAGCAGTGTAGAAGTAGATTCTACTCTGATGGTTCTGGAACTTGCAAGTTAAACATTCAGCTAAAACATTTTTCTCTTAATTGATCAAGAAAATGTTGAAACTTCTTTATGCATCCTTTTCTGAATGCTTAATTAGTAGTAATTGATAAAAGGAGGCAGGGTGGAGTAATGGATAGCAGCTCGGACTGAGGAATTGGAAAGCTGAGTTCGAATTCCAATCAAATCCATTACATTCACTTACATGCTAATACCCTTGGGAAAAATATGAATCCTCTTCTTCTCATCTATTGGTAAATAGCAGGACAGAATGGGTTCTATAGCCTTGGGTGGTAACTGGTCTACCACAGAAAGAAGTGGCAACCTGTTGCGGGAAAAAAAATCTGCCTTGTCATGCATTAAAAGATACATGATTGCCTAATTGTGTATGTATCATGCATGGCACATAACTGACTGAATCGATATTTATAGAAAACAAAAAACTATGGGCAGTGAACACAAAGATCCACACACGGATTGCCACAGACACAGCAGTGCTGACCAAACTGGAAAGGGTATGGAAGAGCAACATTGGCTTCCTTACCAAGTTCAAGCTCTAAATTGCTGGTCATACCTATCCTCCTCTACAGGTGTGAGACTTGGATATCCCTGGTTGGAAAAAAAAGGGCCCAGGAATTTCAGAACAAATGCTTGTGAAAGCTCCTCTACATATACTGGGAGCACAAAACTAATGACTATATACAGAGCAAGGTCAAAGGTCTCATGGGCCGACAGAAATCTTTTTGCCAATATGACATTGGTCACATGGCATAACAAGCTCTGTAAGGCACTGTTGAAGGCAGGTGCAAGTGGAAACTGCAACACAAGACAATGCTGGAACTTCTGAGAGCCACTGCCAACAGATCATCCTGGAGGAGGTTGTCTGTTTCTTTCGCCCTGAAGTCCCCACTGACAATTGAAGCAGTCAAGGAACTGGGAAAAATGATGCATTTTATGTATGTATGTTTTTTTTGTTTTTTTTTCTGAAAATTTCAGGAAGTGAAACAATGCAAAAGGCTTATTTTCCGGTGTATCCCTTGTTTCCTGTTTATCCCTTGTTTCCTGTTTAGGATTGAGTTTCTGGTTCCTTCAGAAATCTTTAATTCGTTTTTACTCACAGTACCCCCTTACATCTTAGTGGCATTATTACCTGGTTTGGAGTGAATTGATTTCAAAAAGAAGACATTATTGTGCTGCTATGCCTCAAAGATACCATAGTTAATTAGAGGAATGAAATGATCTCTATTTGTTTGCTATTATCTTTTTTTTTTTTTTTTTTTTTTTTTTTATTATTTTTGCTTTTCCTTTAACTATGGTTTAGTAATTCCTGAAAAGTCCAGTTCTATGGAAGTGTCTCACTCCTTCATCCCAGGCGATATGGTTGAGGTTTGTGAAGGCGAGTTGATATTTCTCCAGGGTAAAGTGATGACTTGTGATGGTAACAAAATCACCATTATGCCCAAACACGAAGATCTGAAGGTAAGTTTATTGTATCTATATAGAGAACTGCAGAATAACATCTTTTCGGTATCGTCCCAGAACTGTCCCAAAATTAAATTTTTTTTTTTTAACTTTGTATCATTTGTAGTTGTTAGTATTATAATAAACCATCATTAAGATGTTGAGGGAATAAATATTTATTTTAATCCATCCAGTCTTTAAACTTGTCTCTGTGTCCTGCGGTAACTATCCCCAAAAAATCTTTGGATACAAGTAGTAACAGAAATTTAAGAACTTAAATTATTAAAATTTTAAAAATAGATACAAAAAAAAAAAAAAAAAGAAAGTTAAATTTTACTGTAATGTGTATAAAAATCACAATTTTATTTAAATGTTTTTGTTAAATCACCATGAATAATTTTTATAAGGAAACTTTTTTAATTTTCATCATTAAAGTAACTTTTATCAGACTTTAAGAATCATGTTCAAAGCATTCATTTTTTATAAGAAATATTAAGAATATTAGTCTATTCCAACTATTCACAATCATACAATTGCTGAAGTTAAGCAACATTGGGACTGGGCAGTACCGAGATGGGTGACTGCTTGGGAATACCAGGTGGTGTAATGTATAGTGGTTTGGAATTGTTAATCAGAGACTGGTTCCACTTCCCATTGGGTTCGTCTTATTTACTTATGCACAATTACAATTTTTGGGAAAGGTATGAATTGACATCTTATGGGTTAATTAATTAGTAAGACTTGTATCATTATCTCCCCACAAAATCTTCTGGATTTAAATAATGTGCAAAGGGTTGATAAGCCATAGAAAATGAATGAATGAAATCTATCTAGTAAGAAACACTTGTACAATCACTGAAGTTAAGCAACATGAGCTTGATGATACCAAATGCTCTAAGCTTGGATGTATGCGTGGTGTAATGGATAATGGCTCAGAATTGTTAATTGGAGAGCTGAGTTCCAATTCTAGTTGGGTTCGTTATATTCACTTATGTGCAAATATCCTTGGGAAAGGTATGACACCTCTTCTTCCCCCGCTATGGGTTTGTAAGATTTCTTTCTTTTTTTTAATTTTATTTTTTATGCAAATTATTGTCACTGTTTTAGGTTTTGAAACAAGACCATTTCTAAGGTCTATATAGTGGACACAATTATTATATCAGAACTATTTCTACTCTTATTAATGGTACAAAGATTGAGTCCAAAATAAGGTTTTCTTTCTTAATTTCTGGGATGAGGAGTTATCATTATTTATAATTGGCCTAATGTCCTCATCTTTATTGATATAACCATAACATCTCCACCGTTATACACCTTCTTCAAGAGTTTGTGCTTATGGCCACATGTTGAATCACCAAAGTTAAGCAATGTTGAGCCTGCTTAGTAACTAGATGGGTGTAATGGATAATGGCTTGGAATTGTTAACTGGAGTGCCAAGTTCTAATTCCCATTGGGTTTATTATATTCATTTATATGCAAATGGGAAATGTATGAATCCAGAGCTTCTTCCCCAAGCTATGGGTTAATTAGTAGGACTTGTATCTCTAAATAATTATCTCCCCAAAATCTGGCTTTGAAAAAACTGCAAAGGGTTGATAAGCTGCAGAAAATCAATCAGTATTCACAATAAAAAAAAATGTTTCATTTACAATTACCTGTGTCATGACTAAATTTTCTGTGTTTATCATTTCTAAAATTCTTTGTATTTTTAATTTTGTTTATCAACAGAAAACATAGCACAAATGTTTGTTTATATTTCATTCAAGATTTGTAACCAAATATTGACATAGCATACTTTTGCTTTGTTTGTTAATGCAAAATTAGATCTTAAAATTTTCTAAGGTTTTTTACAATTAGATATAAATAACACAAATATCTAAATTTATTTCCTTCAACCTTCATTTATTTGAATTTCATTCACCAGTTTAAAAAAAGTGCACTTTTTTTTTTGTTATATCTCTTTGTATATTATTAAACAGACACTACTTTGGTGATTTGGTGATGGGTAAAATTTTATTTTAATAAATTAGTTTCTTTTAAAATAGAATATGATAGAATGTTAATTAAGTTTTGTTTAGTCACCAAATAATGTGTTGTTGTCCTTGGTAGGATGTTAATTTTGAGTCCTGTACCCATGCTTGGCTGAGTTTGGCACAGGATCACATTGTGGGCAGGGAAGATTGTAGTCATTCTGCCTGCTTTGAAAAATGCAATGTTTTAAATTCTGGTTCCAGTTGTATAAAACATTAACTCTGCACCTATTTTTTTTCTCCGCTTTAGGAACCATTAGAATTCCCAGCTCATGAACTTCGAAAACATTTCAAAATGGGTGACCACGTTAAAGTTATTGGTGGTCGCTATGAAAATGACACGGGCCTTATTGTACGTGTTGAAGAAAACATGGTTGTCCTCTTTTCTGATTTGACAATGCATGAGGTAAGTTGGTAACTGGTTTTGATAATTCAAAAACTAAAAATTTTTAAAAATAAATTTTATAATACACTGAAAGATAACATGATTTTATATATATATATATAGCAAGCAACTGTACTGAAATGTGATGAAATCTTAAGGAACTTCAAGACTGCTGCCAATGTGACTTAAGCAACTAAAATAACAAAGTAAAAGCAGAATTAAACAAAAAGTGTTACTGAATACATTATTTTACACTGTTAAAAATTATAGCAATTGTTTAATGATATTGTCTTTCTTTTCTAAGAAGCATACAAAATTTAAGTGACTGGAGTACTAATTTTTGCATGATTAATTAAACTACCAGAGTAATGATCAAAATTCTGAGTTGCTTGTTTAAAAAAAAATGTAGACTTCATTTGAAAATCTTGGACTAGATATTGTTTTAAAAGCTGTCTAAGCTTTGAATTTTTGGCTGTTATTTGCAAATATTTGAATAACCTCCATTTCAATTGAGGATCAAGAAATTGCTTCAGTTAATCTAAATATAATCTTCATAAAATATCAGTTTATGAATATTTTATGTAAAGTTTTGTTTGCTGTCATCATGATTTTTTTTTTTTTTTTTTTTTCTGTTTGTCTCTTTAGCTGAAGGTATTGCCTGAACATCTCCAACTTTGTACAGACATGGCGACTGGTGTTGATTCGCTTGGCCAATTCCAGTTTGGTGATTTGGTGCAGTTAGAGTAAGTGGTTCTGTAATTTGTTTTTTTTTTTTTTTTTATCTTTAAAAAAAAAAAACAAAGATTCAATTGATTTATCCAAAAATAAGTGAAATGATTTATATGTTGAATTTTTGCAATCTGATCACTATCCCCCTCTATCCACCAAAAAAACTGGTTACTTCAAGTTTGGATGGAATCATTAATTTTAACTGATATATTTGTACATATCTATAAGTCAATCATTTGCCCATGCTTAGAATATTACTGCCATATATGGTATGGTGCTCCTGCTGTTTACCTTGTGCTCCTTGATAAGATCCAAAGAAGAATCAGCAATATTATTGGTCCTGATCTGGCGGCTTAACTTCAGTCACTTTCCAACTGTTGTAAAGTTGCCCTTCTTAGTCTTTTCTATAAATACTTTCATTGTAATTGTTCGGATGAGGTCTTCGCTATAGTACCTACTTTTTGAATTTAAGTGCAGTATTACACTGCAAGAGATAAATTCTGAGACAAACATCATTAAGCTAAAATTGAAAACGAGCTTGTTTAACATTTGGTGGAAGTTACTGGAACATTAAAACGTGAGGTCAGGGGCTGAAATCTGACATAGATGAGCAAAATCAACTTTTTTTTTTTTTCAAGTTCTTTATAGTCAAAGGCATTACTTTCTTTAATGTACTGTTTTTGAAATTCTCTTTCAGCCAACAAACTGTGGGTGTGATTGTACGACTTGAGAAAGAAAATTTCCAGGTGCTTAACATGCACAATAAAGTGAGTTATTTCTATTTGAGTTCTAACTTTTCCTCTATCTAAACAGTTCTTCTGAATTATTTTTACTGAGATTTCATGTTTTTTCTTTTTTTTTTTTTTTTTTGTATTTGAAGAATAACCTTCTCTAATAAGTTGTATGTAAATCTTTTACAGAAGTCATCATTGGCTTTAATTCTAATCCAACAATTTAATTTCTCTTTTTCTGATCACTTCCTTTATGATGGTGTTGATGACTAAATTGACCAATTCTTGCATGGAAGAGCCAATGTCATTGACAGCACAGTAATGTTATTGGAGTACTAATTTGTTGATTTTTGTCGGGCCTTTCTCTCGCATTTGATTTTTTTCCTTTTCTCTTCTGGGTACTTTGAAGTTTTTGGTTCCGGTGGTGATGTTCCATCACCAGTTGGTATGGTCTTGTGCATGTGTTTCAAACAATTTAGACTCAAGTTCAGTGGCTTTCAGTGTTAGTTTTTCTTTTTTTTTTTTTTTTTTTAGTTTGTCCCTTTATCTTCAAAGATAATGGTCTTCATGGTCTTTTCCCTGAAGTGAGCTCACTGAATAAGACTTGATGTAGAAGCCTTCTCACTTCCAGTCTTGCTACATGTCCTGACCATCGAAGATGGTGTTTAATGATCAGCGATTCGATGCTTTGACCCTTGGCTCTTTCCAGGATTTTGGTTTTGGTCACGTAATTCTATTTTGCTAGTGAAAGCGTTTTGATTTTTAATTGCAACAATATAGAATCTCGATTTTGCAATCATCTAGCAAAGTTGAAATAATAACAATGGGTGTATCAGATAGTAATATCAAAATCTGGTAAGATTGTATTTGGGACTCTGGCTGTGCAAGGACGTTGGTTTTCTTGAGGGTTACTTGTAGGCCATAGCAAAGTTGTTCAGATTGTTGGAGTTCTTCTGAATGACAGAGGGTAGCATTGTCATCAGCATATTGAAGTTCTGAGATTTGTTGCATGTGTTTTAGATTTTTAGATTGAAGTCTATTAAGGTTGAAAAGACCTCCATCATATTGATATCTGATGTCAACTCCTGGATTGTTTGGGGGAAGTTCATGAGGCATTGCAGCCAGTTACAAGCAGAATAACATATGCATATGATTGGAAATGCTTCTGAAGCATATTTTGGTGGAATGCACATCCAAACATATTGTCATGCATTGCTTGAACCAAGAGATAAAGTGGTTAGTACATCCAAAATGATGAAAAAAAAAAAAGAAAAAAAAATTTTTTTTTTTGTTTCCTGATTTTCTCTTGGAGTTGCCTTTCACAGAAAACTGAGTCAATTGTACCATGGGAGGCACAGAATCCACATTGAGATTCTGGGAGTATCTTTTTTGTGGTGATCTGAATGAATGAATGAATGAATATATATATATATATGTCTTTTAAACATCTGTGAAATTTCAAGCTTATAGTTTTTATTCAATAATTTCTTAGGTTTCATTAAAATGAGAAGGTCTTGATTTGGACATGTGATTGACTGAATTTTGCACTTAATGGCTGTTTCTTCTATTTATTTATTTTTTTTATTTCAGGTTTTGAATGTGAAACCACAGTCTGTCACCCGTAAAAGGGACACAAGAAATGCCGTAGCATTGGATTATGATTCTAACAACATTCATGTCAAAGATATTGTTAATGTAAATGATGGTGCTCATTCAGTAAGTATAACTTGCATTGGATTGACGTCTCCTCACTTGTGGGCGTGATTGTGCTAGAACAGTTTGCATTTGTTTTCAATTTAATAAAGAACTTGCTTAACAAGTTTAAAGGTGATGACAAGATGCCTGTCTTAATATCTAAGAATAATGACTTTCTGAATAAATCAAAATAACAATTGACATTTTTCTTTTTGACTGACCTAGTTTCTGGATGTGCAACTAGTTTAATTGATAGCGACTCAGATTGATTGAGAAATTGGAGAATTGAGTTCGAATTACAGTTGGGTTTGTTACTTTCACTTATGTGAAAATACTTCTGGCAAAGATATGAATCCATTCCCACCACCTATGGGCTAAATAGTAGTATCTGAAAAAATCATTGTTATACTAAAAAAAAAACGTTAATGTAATATTCACTTGCGAAAACAAAAAAAAGAAATATTCAGTCTTTACAATCCAAAATGTTCAACTTTAAATAACCCACAAAGGGTTGATAAACAGTAAAAAAAAACAAACAGTCAGCTAACCTATTTCCTGGCTTAATTTCCATTGACTTTTTCTTTGTCACAGACTGTTCAAAACAAGGCTAATTACATCATCATGTTCAAAACAAGGCTAATTACATCATCATGTTCAAAACAAGGCTAATTACATCATCATGTTCAAAACAAGGCTAATTACATCATCATGTTCAAAACAAGGCTAATTACATCATCATGTTCAAAACAAGGCTAATTACATCATCATGTTCAAAACAAGGCTAATTACATCATCATGTTCAAAACAAGGCTAATTACATCATCATGTTCAAAAACAAGGCTAATTACATCATCATGTTCAAAAACAAGGCTAATTACATCATCATGTTCAAAACAAGGCTAATTACATCATCATGTTCAAAACAAGGCTAATTACAACATCATGTTCAAAACAAGGCTAATTACAACATGTTGAAACACAAGTACAACCACTGAAGTTAAGCAATGTTGAGCCTAGTCAGTACCTAGATGAGTGACCATTTGGGAATACCAGGCGATGTAAGCTTGGATATGCTGGTGGTGTAATTGACAATGGTTTGGAATTGGAAATTAAAGAACAGAGTTCCCCTTCTAGTTGGGTTCATTATATTCACTTATGTGCAAATACCCTTGGGAAAGGTATGGATCCAACTCTTCTCTTCCCCCCAGCTATGGGTTAATTAGTAAGACTTGTATCACTAAATCACTATAATTTTAAAAAGAAAAGTTTCTTAAAATCTAAAATATCCTTTAATAACCTGAAAAATGTTGCTAAGCTGTAGAAAACCGTCAATCAAGTCTGTTCAAAACAGAGCTCCAGATGAACATTTTTTTTCATCACTGTCTCAGAAAACAAAATTTTTCAGGATTGATCACACTATTCTGGAATCAAAATGCTTTTTTAATTCTATAAATTATAGTTGTTAGTAGACTAATAAAAGCATCATTAAAATGTTTAGGAAATAAATATTTATTTTAATCTATTCAATCTTTGAACTCTGTACCCTGCAGTCATTATACTGAAATTTGTTTTTAACACAGGTTGTAAAAATTGCATTCAAATCTCCACTGAAATGGGAAATGACAAAAACAGTCCAATATATTTTGGTGTTTTTTTTTTTTTTTTTTTTTAACTTAGGGTCGACAAGGTGAAGTCAAACATCTGTATCGTGGTTTTGCTTTCCTTATGTCTCGAATGATGACTGATAATGGAGGTTATTTTGTTTGCCGGACGCGTCATCTTTCCTTGGCTGGAGGGTCACGGGTAAGTAGCATGATTTAATTTGAATTTCTTGAATTGATCATAACTCATTTATACAACACTCAAATACATCTCTTAATGATGCTTTCTTTTTTTTTCTCATCTTATTGGACATGTATTGTTGTTCTGAACTTCATATGTATGTTAGATCTTGCCAAGCATTTTGAATTAGGAATATTTTACATGATAATGCAGAAATAATGAGTGAATTTGTTAATGTTAATTGAATAAACACAGAAAATATAGTTTTTTAATACAATCAGGAAATACTTAATAAAGTCTGAAAATGTAATGACTAATTCTGGCAATAATTTTGATAATTTTTGTAAATTTAAAATTTTATTCTGTGATTTTTGTCACATCTACAAGTGTTTATCTTTGTTTTTATAGAAGATGAAGAAAATACTTTTTTCTTAAAGATAATAGATATTACTATTGCACATAGTTTTAATAATAATTGAAATCAATTTACATTAACATGAATGCAAAATTACCAGGATAATTTGTTGAGTTAATCAGTTCATTATATGTAATAAGGTGGAAAATTAAAAATGAAATTTGCCCAGTAAATTTTTCTCTGAATGGGTGTCAATTTTTAGCAAAGCCTTTATTGATAGCTAGTCAATTTTTCTTTTTTTTTTTCTTTTTTATGCAAATTGTTATCACTGTTTTATACAGTTTAAAGAACTTTTCAAACATGACCATTTCTATGTAGTGGACACAATTATTATATCAGAATTATTTCTACTCTTATTAATGGTACAAAGATCGAGTCCAAAATAAGGTTTTCTGTCTTAATTTCTGGGATGTGGAGTTATCATCCTTATTTATAATTAGACTAATGGCCTCATTTTTATTGTTATAACCATAACATCTCAGCCATTATATCTGCTGTCCTTCTTCAAGAGTCTGTGCTTATGCCCACATCATGTTGAATCTTCAGTTAAGCAATGTTGAACCTGGTCAGTAACTAGATTGATGCTTTGTGCCATAAGCGTGGGTGGTGTAATGGATATAGATAATGGCTTTGAATTGTTAATTGGAGATCTGTGTTCTAATTCTAGCTGGGTTTGTTATATTCACTTATGTGCAAATATCCTTGGAAAAGTTATGAATCCACAGCCTCTTCTTTTCCCCCAAGCTATTAGTTATTTTGCAAGGCTTGTATTGTGAAATCATTATCTGGGGAAAAAAATGCATTTTATTTTTTTATGCAAATTATTTTCACTGTTTAAAGTTTTCCAACATGATCATTTCTAAGGTCTATATAGTAGACCCAGTTATTATATCAGAATTATTTCTATTCTTTATTAACAGCACAGAGATTGACTGCAAAATAAGGTTTTCCTACCTCAATTTCTGGGATAAGGAGTTATCATTATTTACAATTGAACTAATATCCCCATCTTTAATGTTATAAGCACAGCATCTAAGCTGTTTCTTCAAGAGTCTGTTGACTGAAATACCGTGAATAAGAAAATGGCAGCTTTAAAAAAATATACAAAATGGAGGTAGACAGGCAAAGCCAATCAAAAAGATTGCAAGTGCTTTATAGACTTCTGTTTGTCACAGAGTAATTAGTTGGCAACCTGCTGTGTGAGTACAACCTATTTTCTGAACTTTGATTTCTACAATAGATAATGTGAGGACATTACTCTGAATGGAAATAAAATCAAGTTTTTGTGTGTTTTAAATCACATATCACCTTTGTCAGTAGTGCATAGATATGCTTATTGATAATTGTGTAGCAGAGTTTGTTTACCATTTCTTTCCTCGCACTGAAATTATATTTGTTTTTTATTTCAGAGAAGCAACTCTAGTCTGAATCCACTAGGTGCTTTCCCTCCTATGTCACCACGACTGTCCAGCCCCTCTCATCCAAGTGGTGGACAGGGTTCACCTTCTGGTGGGCAATCTGGCCGAGGTCGTGGATCCTTTACTCAGAGAGATCGAGATCTCATTGGTCAGACAGTACGAATCATCCAAGGTCCATTCAAAGGTCATATTGGTATAGTAAAAGATGCTACGGGAACGACTGCTCGTGTGGAACTTCATGCATACTGTAAAATTATTTCTGTGGATAGGATGCGTCTTGACAGTGACTTGTAAGTTGTTTTTAATTACTTTGCTTTAAAGTTAGATCAATATTTATGCTTGGATAGTATTTCAGTGCTTTTTTTTTAATAATTAATTAAAGTTGTGATTCTCTCCCTTGCTGCTTGCTTAATCTTAACAAAAAAAACTTCAAATCAGTGGTTCCCAACCGATTTTGGGGCATGCCTCACTTTGGTATTTCTAAAATTCTGGTGCCCTGCCCCTGTAATATTCAATTCTTACATGTATGCCGATTGCACATGTATGTACATACACACGAAATATTTTTACGTATGCATACTGTATATACATTGTATGTATTAACACACATTAACACTCTCACTCAGGCTCACTAGAAAACGATTCACTGTTAATAGCTCATTCTTGAATTGCCCCCTTATTCTGTTGGTATAGTAAACCAAAGGGTGCACATCCTACGCATACCCTACCAAAATATTACCATGCACGACCGGTGGGGCATGCACCCCATGTTGGGAATCATTGTTTTAAATAGTTTTGTGATTGGTTTTAAAATTATTAATAGCATTACTTTAATGAAGTTTACCTGCTTTATATATTTTTCATAATTGAAGAAAAAAATGTGATATAAATATTTTCTTTACAGCAGAAAATAACTAGAAAGGTTGAGTATACTTGACAATTGAGTAATTCATAGGTATGTTGCTGTATAGATAAAATATTATCATTCTGACCAGGATTTAAATATCACCATGGTCATTTTGTCAAGAAGTTGACTTCTTGATAATATAAACTTAGGGATATGATCCATCTCTGAGAGTGGTACATTTTGGGAAGTACCTGAAAACCATGCCACGGGTCAACCCAGGCTTTGTGAGTGAAATTGGGTAGCACAAACCATTTGGAAGCTGTTAATGGAAGCACAAAATCACAGGTTATTGGGACTGAGTATATTGGCCTTGTCCAAACTGGTTCCCACAGATCTGCTCAGTGTAATTGCAGTTTACAGTTTGGATATCTTAGCGTTGAAGAAATGCCAATGTACCTGAGCATCTGTCTGTATCAGGTATACTCAGAAATGAGTAGCCAGCCATATATTAATTCAGTGAGTGTAGAGGGAAAAGAATATTATTATTATTATATATCTTTTTTTTTTTTTTTTTTTTTTTTTTTTTTTTTTTTAAAGCTGAGAATTTCTATTTAAAATGAGATTTTACTCCATCTTGGTAAACCATTTTCTGTTACAGACAGTGGATTGTCATTGATTTTATTTGTTATATTACTAGAGTTTTCACAAAATTTGACCAGTGCTTCAATTGTACTTGATTAAATGAAAATAATCTGCACTTGTAAAAAAACAAAACTATTTGTTTCAGCTGCTAATGTCATCTGACAAAAAATTTGTCATACTATCTCGCACTTAAGTATTCCTACACCTAAATAGTGTGTGTATGTGGGGGGAGGGGGGCAGTATGACATTTTTATGTAAATATTAATATTTTTACTTTTTGTAACAAAAACTGAACATTTTATAACTTTTTTTTTTCTGAATCTGTTGATTATTGTTGCTCATGTCTGTTGCTCAAATTTATCCTACATTTTTTTTTTTTTTTTTTTTTGCAGTCGTAAAAAAGTTGGCTCTGGCAATTCATCATATGGCCGAACACCACTTTACAGTGGTCAGACCCCAATGTACTCTTCAAGGACCCCATTGTATGGTTCTGAAGGTGGACGTACACCTCATTATGGTGGGCAAACACCTCTCCATGAGGGTAATAGGACACCAATCAGTGGAGGTACTAGTGCCTGGGACCCTGCAAATCCAAACACGCCATCAAGGTAAGATGGTTAAAAAAAAAAAAAGACCCTTGCTTCAAATCAAAAATTGGTGCCTTTCTCAAACTTTATTGTATAGACAAAATAGTACAATTTTAATAACATTAATTTTAATTATTAATATATTAGATGCTTTAGTGTTTGACTTTTGAAAATGCCTTTTGAAAGAACTTGAAGCAGTGAATATATAATGTGGGTGTTAAATATTTGCTGGATATTTTTTAGAGTTAAGTCTTTTTTTTTATGCTATTGTTCACCTAGTACAAGGCCCAAGAGTCATTCAAGATAGAGGTTTATTGAATGTAAGAATTGTAGATTATGAAGCTAAGTTAGAGAGCTAAAGGTTGACCATAGTTGAAGAGGTTGAAATTGCTGTGATTGGGGAAGCATCTTCTTGGGACAGAGCTCTTCACAAGATGTCCAAATAGAATACAAATGGAATGAGGATAGTTGCCCCCCCCCCCCGTGTACATGGGGGTATGGCAGATTTTAGCTGCATGTACCTTTCTAAATTTTGTATTAATATCCTTTGTATGGCTTCAGTGATATTTGCTCTGATTTTAAGGTTGACCATTATGAATAGTTCTTAAATAGTTTTATCTGGACTTAACAGCACAAATATGAGCTTCCACATTTTCCTGCTTATTCATATATCCATATACTTCAACTTCTTCATGTGTAATGATCAAATTAAGTTTTAAAAAGTATACTATTTGTGGTCATATTAAAAGATGTTCTTTTAAATTTTTCATTTTTTATGTGTCCTTTATAAAAACAAATATTTACTCGATTTTTTTTTTTTTTTTTTTAAAATACTAAATGTCATCTAATATAAAACTCGAGAACCACTCTAGATAGAGGGCTATAATGAATGAGATGTGTTATATGAATGAAAAAGGTGGTGTTAAGAAGTGAAGTTAAGGAGGTTAGATAACAAGTCTATTGCACAAAGTAGCAATTCTTGGAGTTTCGGTGTTGTCTAAGTGGGACTTTCTCTTTACAATCTGGTATATTGAGGAAAGGCAGGTGTTGTCTGACTCTGGAAATAACTTGGCATGTCCTAGCTGATAATGTTTGAACTTGTGGAACTTAGGAATGGAGCCCATCTGAACATTTGCCATAGAAAAACTGGCAACATTGTGTCTATAGGAAAGAGGCTTTATGAAACTGCACAAATGATTTTAAACTCTTGTCAAGGCTGAAAACTGAGGATTAATCAGCTCCAGTCCAGATATAGTAGCAATCCATTTTTGGTCTAATCTGACTTGTAAAGATAAAGCGTGACCATAGGAGTCAGTTGCTGAGAATTTTAAAGATCAAATCGACAGTTAGGTTGGAAATTCTTATTTTTCCATTTAAAAATAAAATGCTGTTAAGCATTTAAAGAAAAAAAAGTTTTTGTTTTGTTTATATCATGGTGTATTAAAAAGATTGACTGAAAAAAAGGTGTAGAATATAAAATCCATGTTTAATGTTCTGATATTGGTTTCTAGGTTTGGTTAAATCCTGCCATCTTCATATTGTATGGAATTTTAAAAAGTTTAAATATTTCATTTATTGTAGTTAGTGTCTTTAATATGAATGCTTTCTTTTTCAGGACAAATGACTTTGATTACATGTTTGAAGATTCTGCTTCCCCTGGTGACTATGGTGCTGTCAGTACACCTGCAACACCTGCTTATAATGCTGACACACCCAGCCCTATGGGACCTTTTACACCACAGACACCTGGCACTTACTCACCATACCAAGGGACACCTTCCCCTGCAGGCTATCAAGGTAAATGTACATTTTTTGTTTTACTTGTTGCAAAATCAAAATAGTTAATTCTGCCAGATAGATCCAAGATTGATTGAAAAAAATACATTGAGAAATTAGTTTGAATATTTATATATTTTTTTTTCATTTGCCTAAAATAAACTGTTTGGATTCTACTTTTCTGTTTGTGTGTGTGCTTGCATGGATGGATTCTCCTGTTGAGAATGATGGATGAGAGTTCAGTAAATTCTATGTCTTAACAATTTTGCCTGTGCATACTTTCTCCATCATAGCACCATGTCCTGTACTGGTTAACTGTGTCTGATGACATGTTAGATGATGCTACAATTACAGGATTTTTTGAATAGAGGTTTTCCATCTCCCAACTGCATTACTGGCTGTTGATGCCTATAAGAAACCCATTGACCCTTTCCCAACCCTCTCCAGGCTGGTTTGAATGCAGTTTTCTTTCTCCTTGACTGGTTGCTAACTAAAGCTATAGGACCCAGTCTGTCATGCTATTCAACCCATAGTTGGGGGGGGGGGAGAAAAGATGGATTCCTACCTTTCCCAAGAGTATTTGTGCATAACTGGAATTTGAATTAAGCTCTCTGATTTCTCATCCTGAGCCATTTAACCCTCACACTGCTCGCACATCCAAGCTTACACCACCTGATACCCCCAAGAGGTAACCCATTTAGGCATTGACCAGGTTCACTGTTGCCTAATTTTATTGATTAGATGAGAACAAGTATTTCAATGTGATATGGCTGTAAACTCATGTGTGTGTGTATAATTTATATATATATATATATATATATATATATATATATATATATATGTGTGTGTGTGCCATCTTGGTTTTGGTACATCTCTTTAATTAAATTCACCCCAAGCAAGGCAGTAAAGCCACCGAGACACAAGGGGTTTCTGGGTGTGGGAGAGTTAGAAACAGAAACATTGCTAAGGGGTGAGAACAGAGGAAGAGTAATGAGGAGGACAACAGATAGTGATTGACATTACTTATCCCCTGGACCGAGCTGAAGAGCCCAGTGTTTACTTATCCCTGAACCGAGTAGAAGTGCCCAGTGATTATCTATCTCTGGGCCACACACAAGCATTCAATGTTTAACTATCCATTAAGCAAGTATATGTTTATAGAGTGATTTTTGTATTAAATAAATTTCATATTTCATTAAATCCATCAATCCAACCTTTAGTTCAAGCATGTTTTTTATATAAATTGTCTTTTTCAAGAAATGGCAGTAAAAAGAAACAAATTGTACTTTGTACTTAAATTCCAATTTGATCATAATGAAAAAAGTAATTAGTTTTGTATGCCCCAGTGTCTTATTTATATTTATCAATAAATTAACAAATATATAAAGAATACAAATGGTATTGAGATTTTTCTATTGGTGAAGAAAAATCTTGCTGCCTTGTTTTTTCCCCAGTCACTTTCTATTTGTATATTTGAGTTCTTTTCTATTTTTTCTAGCCACTCCAAGTCCGGCAGCTTATGTAGGTACCCCTAGTCCTTCTGGATACCAAGCTTCTCCTTCACCTGCTGGGTATGCTGCAACCCCATCACCGTCGACTTATAGCCCGATGACTCCAGTAGCGCCCTATACACCACAAACACCTGGTGCAGGTAAGTAATTTAGAATCCCACACAATTTAAAATCCATCTACACACACACACACACACACACACACACACACACACACACACACACACACAACACTTAGAAGATATATCTCTTTAATATTTTTTGTTAATTTCAGCCATGGATCAAGCTATGACTGATTGGCATACGACAGATATAGAAGTACGAATCAAGGACAACCATGATGACAGTGCTCTCATTCACCACACAGGTGTCATACGATCTGTGACAGTAAGTGTCTTTTGTTTTGTTTCATTAAAAATTGTTGATATAAGTTTAGGTGAGTTCATCGTGATTAACTTAACCTGTTTTTTATTTGTTTTTTTTTTTTTTTTTTTTAAGTTCATTTGATCTTGTTTAGCCCTTGTTAGATATAAATGTCTACACCTTGTGGTAATATTAAATGTTGTTCTTTTAAACTCTTCCTTCATTTAGTATGTCATGTTAGAAGTATTGTGAGATAGTCCTGGGTATGATGATAAACTACAACTGGCAGCAAGGCCTCTGATCAGGAAATTGGAAGTTTTGAGGAGTGTGGAACAACCTCTTAATTGCTGCTGCTATTCCCCAGGTCCACCCTGACCAGGGGTAATAACACTTATACTGCTATGGGCAAATAGTGAACACCCCAAACAAAACACTATGAAAGTATAGTACCAGCAATACACTTTTATATATAGATATCTAAAAAAAAAAAAAAAGAAGGACCAACAGTACATTTTATAGCAAAATGACCAATACATTTTTTGTAGTTGAAGGCATATAATTGTGTTCAAAATATATTTAGTTGAAGCCATAAAATTGATCAAAATATTTAGGTTTTGGCATTAAATATCCCATTGAGATTGATATGCTGCTAAACAAAATCAACCAACCAACCTTCTGAGAATTTATTTGGGATTTACCTTGCTTGGAACTTTAAAATGCTATGAAGTATGTAAAAAAAAAAAAAAAAAAAAAAAGTTTATATCATGGTGTATCCTTCTACTTTAAAAGATGTCCAGCGGTTGATAATCTAGGTTTTGCTATCATCTTCATATTATTGTATGGAATTAAAAATCACAATTTAGGCAAAAATGTCTTGCTCTTTTTATTATTTATTAAGGAGGGATGAAAACAAAACTTTTTTTTTTTCTTTTTATTGAATATTTTTCTGCAATTTCTAAATTTTTAATAAAAATAATGAACTGTTGTGTAATATCAATTCTCCTATATGCCAGTGAATGCTGGGCAATCTCTTCACAGATGAAGAAAAAAAACTTGAGACTAGGGAAATATGGTTCTACAAATGGATGCTGAGAATATGGACCGAGCATATGAGCAATGGCAAAGTTTTAGGACACTGATACTTAACATCAGAAAGAGAGTTTTATATTTCTCTGGTAATAATGAGGAAAGAGGGCTTAGAAAATCTGACACTCACAGGATATATTGAAGGCAAGTGGGACAGAGGAAAGCAGTTAACCAGTTCTCAGAGGAAACCAGTTTAAGTAGTTTTCGTAAATGTTTGGCAGATCAGGGATTAGGAGAGATAGTGAAAAGATAAAAGTTACAAAAGGCAGAAAATTATGGAGAACCATGATTGACCACTTCCTGAAGGGATATAGAACATAGAATAATAATAATAATAATAAAGTCAAAGTTTGCCTTGCCTTATTTTATATTAATTCTATCTCTGTACAGCTCACTGAAAAAGTTGTATTTTGTTTTATTGCAATTCAAAAAGCTTTTAAGAAATATTTCAGTGTCAATGATTAATGCTCTCTTTATTTTCAGGGTGGCATGTGCAACATTTTTATCCCAGATAAGGATAGAGTAGTGAGTGTAACAAGTATGCATTTGGAACCAATTCCCCCTGTGGTTGGAGAAAAAGTAAGTGAAATAATTATTTTGATTAATTTATTGATTCTTTTGTCTATGAAAATTATTCGTTTTCATTGCGTTCACTGGATCTTGTCCTGTCTTTTAATAACTGGACAAATCGTTGTACATGGTTTCAAATCCAGCTTGCATTGGAGTGAACAAAATCTAGGAAAAGCCTGTTCTCTGTTCCCTTGCGAACGAAAGGTGAAAATATTGCCATGTCGAGAAATGAAATCACAAATCCTGTTTCCAGTCTCTTTGGTTATTTATTCAGAGATTCACTTTGCACAATATGCTGGGTTATGGATTCTTGGGACATCTTTGCTGCTACTTTGAACATTTTACTTTTAGGCTTCATTGCTTGTCATCAGACACTAACATAAAACCATTCACAGTCCACTTTGTGGGAAGTCAGCAGTTTTAGCAATTGAAACAAAATATTTTCTTTTGCAATCATTCATTGTTCCTGCAAATGATAGAAAATGAATGCTGTTTGGGGGTGGGGGTTGACGCCTATTATAAAGTTCAACAAATAGTTGTATATGTCATAATTTGAATTACCAATTCATTTTTTATGTTTGTTTTTTTTTCTTTTTTTTTTTTCTAAATATCTTTTCATATTGTGAGAATTACAAGTTTCATGAAAACTCTGCTATTTTTGTGGCCAGTGTTATCACTCTTTGGTAATGGGAAAGAAAATTAGGTTTCTTATTGTTGGTACCTATCAAAACCCACCACAAAAGTAGAATTTCTAGATATTTTGGGGGGGAAAAATATTCTCAGGGTCTTATGTTTTAAGCAAAGACAAATATTGTGTTGTTGATAAATTGAAGAAAAATTTGAATAAATCCAAAATACATTGAAAATTTTTGAAGCTTCAGGTTTTTGTCTGAATTTTCATGCCAGCATATTTAACTTGAATAATAACTTGATATGTTCAGGATAATTTAAATTCTGTTAGAAAATTGACTAGAGATGTTTTAAACAGGTATATTTTAACAAAATCAAAATATTGTTTTTGCTGGTTTCACCAAAATTTACATTATTTTCATTTAGAATGTTTGTTTTTTTTTCAGGAGATTGTTTGACTAATTATTGACTCTACAAATTTATTTTTTTTTTTTTTTATAAACAGGCAAAAGTCATTTGTGGCGAAGATCGAGAAGCTATTGGAGTTGTGGTCAGCATCGATGGTGATGATGGTGTAATAAAATTTGAGCCTGATTCTGTAAGGATTTTCCCAATCAATTTTCTTTGCAAAGTCTCATCACTGCAAAGTTAGAATCTTGGCTTCACAAGCAGCTACTTGGCCTGACCAAACTTGACCATTTGTATATTCAGATTATCAAACATTTTGTTTTCTTTTTTTCTTTTGTCCCAACAATTGACCAACAATTTTTTTTTTTTTTTTGCGCAAGGATTTATTTTTTTCTTCGTCATTCTCTCTTCCACTGCCCAAATATCACCAAGCTCACTTTTTGTGAAAAAATTAAAGAAATGAGACTTAACTCAAGACAAAAAATAAAAACAGATAACTTGTTTCTCTTTTCTATATTTTATTTTCATTCAATTTGACATTAATAATCAGCCACCATAACTAAAATCATTTTTCTTTCAGCTCACTTTTTTTTTGTTGAGATTGCATTTCTTGACAAGTTATTTTTGCAGCATCTTTTAATAATTCCACTATTATGGACATTCTTGTACATCTGTACAAAACTTTCCTGCTGTTTGCCTACATATTCATTTTCAATACATCATGAAGTGTCATTCTCTAATATTTATGCTATAAACTAAGTAGTGCTTAGTGCTATTCAACAGACCAATGTAAAAATATAGGTGTGTATAATACAATCTAATTTCTGATGTATTTTTTATTGTATGTTGGGTGTCATTTAGATTCCAATATAGGTTTCCCCATAAATGGCAATTTCCTATTTTACTCCAAACAGGCTGGCACAGTCAGGCAATAATGCTATGACAACATAACAGTGAAAGTGTTAATTTGCTAGTCTCACAAGTGATTAAGAGTAATTTTGATTATTGCTGTTGCTGCTGGTAATGAAGCCTTGGGATAATTTGATTTAATCTTCTTTTGAAGACGCTTTTAAACTCTGTAAAGTCTACAGAGAAATGATTGAGCAGCTCCAGCCCAGATATGGTAGCAATACTCCATTTTTGGTCTATTGTGATTTTGGTAAAGCTAGAAAATGGAAAGGATTGTCCCAAATACACTACCTGTACAATTCATCTCCATAACATGGGCTTATTGGCAATGAGAATACAACCATGAAAATCTTTACTGCCACCCAAGCTCTCCCATCCAACCATCCACCAATGGGGATATATATGCAAGTGTCTCAGCAACAAGATATTTCCCTGGTATATTCCAATATTTATTGAATGTTTAACCTTAGATTTTATTATCACTTCAGAAATATAGTTTCCTCCTATATAGAATCATTAATGGATCTGTGAGTAGCAAAGTTAATTTCAGGAGTGCTAACACTTTTCCTGCTGTAGACTTGTACATCTTTATGAAACTTTTACATTACCTGCTGTTTATATATATATATATATATATATATATATATATATATATATATATATATAGTAAAACATATAATAGTGTACAATATAACTTCTTTTGCTATTTATTGGAAATAAATGAGTATAATGTCCTATTTTTCCCAAAATGGGCCAGCACAGCAAGGCAACAATGCTATAACAATGCAGCAGTGAAAGTGTTAAGGAATAAATGATAATTATTCTTGGAAATGAAAATATGGAGCAGATATTTTAGCAGAATTGATTCATTTTTTTTTTTTTTCACCTCACTCAAGGTGAAAATGTCACTAGGACACAGGGAGTGAAAGTGAATAAGTGAGAAATGAGGAAAATACAGAGTTGAGGAAGACAAGATGCTGATTGACATTGCATTTAAATTTTTTAAGGTGGCGGGGAAGCAAGAAACTGGAAGGGAGTTCCACAGGTGAGAAAAAAAAATGTTAAAAGTAGAAATGGCAGTTGCATTGAGCTAGTCCAACAGTAAAACAGTGAGACCTGGTTGCCAATCTCATGGCACAATTTCGAAGCATGAGAAGAAAAATGATTATCAGAACAGTTGCCATGAAAATATTTGTAAAAAAAACAGAGGGAAGTGATGTCATTTTGGTGAGAAACTAGCTGAAGTCGAGATGCCAAGACAGGATCGATTACAGATCCTTTGAAATTTGTCAGGAATCTTGACATATATAGCAGGAGTGCCAGACCAGATATGGTAGATTTATAAATGTGCAAGATGGATTTTGATGAGAAAAAATTTCTGGCGTAACAGGGTCAATCAACTTTCCTAGCAGTAGACGTAGCAATTGATTTAATATAATCACCCCACTTCATGTCATTGGAAAACGTGAGAAGGCATAGGTGTTGCTCTCCTTGAGTTTAGCATCAGCTATGCAGATAGCAGCAGAAAGGTCCTCTGTGGTGATTAAATGAAAGAAGTTTTGTTTTAGAGGCATTAAAACTTACAAGCTATTTCTTGCCCCAGTTAACCACTGATTGGAGATCCTTTCCAAGAGCAGTTGCCAGGTTAAGTTTGTTGGACTTGCTACCAAGACAAGAGTAAATAGTTGTCTCATCTGCATAAATACATAATTGGGAACTGATGACATTGAGAAGATCATTGAAGAAGATCAGAAACAGTGTAGGTCCAAGCATAGAGCCCTTGGGAATTTCTGCAATAGTACAAAATGATCTGGAAGCATACCTATTCAACACACCCTTCATTACATGATTTGTTATGAAAATTGGATTAAGCCAAATATTTGTCCAGAGACACTAGCCTTTGAGCTTGTGGAGAAGGGCAAGCCCTCTTGAATGTCTGAGATATTTAGAGTCCCAGGTAAATTTGAAGTTCTTATCTAAAGCTTGATCGACAAATTCTATGATGAGACCTTGTCGCCAATCTAGTCTCTTTCTTTAAAATGCCATGCCTGATACACACTTCGGCGATCATGTATCTTTTGAGCTTGATCGACAAATTCTATGATGGCTGTTAACAGACCTGGTGAAACAAACTATAAAGTAAGATGCTTAACCAATTTAGTGTTGATTAGAGCCTCGAGTACTTTGCCAAATAGAGATTAGAAACTAATAGGTTGATAATTTGAGGGGTTTAGAAGGCTCTCCAGAGTTCTTAAAAACAGGAACTGCAGACAAGGACTTGTAACAAGCTGGAAAGGAAGGATCACTGAAGTATTGGGAGCTGAAAGAAGTGGAGCCAGTTGGAATAGAATATTTTGGTCATTTTTTTTTTTTTTGACATATGTCAGTATTACTATAAATGTTATATTTAGTGAGAACATTTGTTTGAGTAAACATGTTTATATATATTTTTTTAACTGAAAAGTTTTATTAAAGAAAACAGGAACCGAAGGTGTATTCTTTTTTAAATCTGGGAAATCACTGTAAACTGATGACATTGGGAAAATCATTGAAGAAGATCAGAAACAGTGTAGGTCCCAGCATAGCCCCCCTCCCCCAAAAAAAATCCCAGGTATGTTTACTCACTGTGTACCCACTAGATATGATATTTATAGTAATAAGAAATAACTTTGGTTGTATAGGAACCGGCGACTCAATGTGATGTGACTGTTAACCAAACTCATTTAATTCAGGTTGGTTCGTAATTTTTGCTTTTCTATGCCATCCTATTTTCAAATTTAATTTTTATTTTACTTCATTGTTTTAATTTTCTCTTAATATTTGCCTCAGAGCGCGCGCGCGCGTATATATATATATATATATATATATATATACATAAACTTATTTATGATACTTCTCGCCGGTCGGTCCAGGGTCAGTTCCTATGCTGGTCAATACTGTCGGTGAAGTGACCCTTCCATTTTGTTTCCCGCTCCGTCACATTGTGCTTTTTGATTTCGGGGCTGACAAAGACCGAGGTGTAAGCAATCGCGGCAATGGTTCAAATCACGGCGATGCTGTCACAAAGGGGAAATAAAAAAAAAAAAAAAAAATTCTTTGCAGACGAAATAAAAGTTGACGGGAAATTCTTGGAATCAATTATATAGTTCTTTGTGCAGAAAAATTAACCCTACCCATATTGAATTCTATCGTGACACTTTGCTCATTTTAGCTAAGTCTGGAGCAAGGCTTAAGTCGGGAGTTCTCTTTGGCAGCAGGTCGCGTGTGCTTCGGCTGCGTAGTCGTCTGCTCCTCCAACTGCAATCGAGTTTGTCGCTTCAGTGTTCTGCTTATATTGACACTTACCCAAGATTGGCATGCGAGCTGTGTTTGGGGACTCGGGGTTTCTCCTGTCTTTCAACAACAGTTCTTTGTGTGGCTTTAGAAAATTATCTCTCCAAATTTGGGAGACCCCTTCTTCCTACGGCTAGCAGTTACAGGTACTGGCCCGCCCGTTCCCCTTACTTATGCCTCGCATCTCCCAATGGGCTTAGGCAATTCCTTCGTCTCTCTTGGTATCTCATCTAAGCCTTTCATCTCGGTTGTCATTTTGACACATCCAATTTTTAAACTGTTGCGTAGCTTAGCTTCTGGTCATTAATTGTAATTACCGTTTTAATTTTCGTCAACAAATTTTTCCCAGCCTGGTCATCCTATAAGTTCTGTCCGAATTTTGAATAAAGAAAACAAGTGACCAAATGTTACATTTAATTACAGATTCAATCAACAATGTATTTTCCCTGATTATCTATGACTTCCTTCCATCTATTAACA